TTATGAACAAATAATAAATATATTTAAATTTTGTATACATGTTTGCCTCACCACAAAATTCGTTGTAGAGTTGGTAAATATACATTCTGTAATGATATTCATAATATGCAGAATATAAAGAGCTAATAATTTTATAATAAATTAAATATATTATTCAATTTTGTTTTTTTCTAAATGCTTGCAATTTCACATTCTAAATTTAAGCCACAAAGTTTAGTGAATTATTAGTCTTTTATTTCATTCTCGACGATTTAATTAAGAGATTAAATAATTACATATTTTAACACCTATATAGATAGATATATAAATAGACATGTTATTTGAAATAATATCTAAATTAATATTCTGTATGTAATGATTATTTATAAATAATTGTCATTAAAGGTTATAATTCTTAAATTTGCAAGCAATACTTACAATAATGGTATTGTAGATATGATAAAAGGACAAAAAGATAAAATTAGTTAAATATGATAATATAATAATTAATAAATATAATAAATATTAATTTATCATTGACTTATATTGAACCAAGAATAAACCTATGTTAATTTTTGTAATATTCGAAGAAAATTTATTGCCGTAAAGAAATTTCTCCGACAATAATCCACTATTCCTTTATTATTATTATTACAGTGGTGGTTATAGTTATTGAATGATTGAGATTTTACACTATTTTTATTATTTTCATCACTTTCATTCTCTTCATTCTCTTCATCGCCTTCATTCTTCTGTTTTAAATGTGTTTTAACTTGAGTTATGTTCAGAGTTTCCGCTGATTAATGCTATTATTCTCTTTGAATCTCTCAATCTCTTCGTGATCGCTCCATTCTTGTACATATGTTTGCACTGTGTTCAATGGTGTTAGGTGTTTATTAAATAGAGATTTGTACTTGGAATTTGGCAGAGTATTTCTGGAGTCCTTTATTGAAAGGGACAATTGTCCTAGTAGAATTAATGTTTGTATTGTTATCGAAGTTAGATTGGTATTGATCCTTCTAGATTATTTCCTATATTTATTTTTTCATTGTTACTATCGGTGTTATTGGTTGTGTATTGGGCCTGGTTTGTGTTTGTGGCATGTACTTCGTTTTGTCATGTTCCCTAATTGGAAAATCCGTTCAGGGGTATGAAAGCTATACACTTGGAGAGGTGAATATCCACAGGAAGATTAATTACAGGGAAATAAAAAAAATTGTTAAAACATGACATCTCATGTGTTTGACTGATACCACTTATGATATACGTTATCATAATATACCAAGATATTAACTATTCAACTAGAGAGAGGTCTCTGGCCAGCGTAAATTCATTAATATAACACTCAACAACATATTTCAGTGAGATTGCTTACCTTTAAAATCAAAAAATGGTTGGGATGACAAGTACTGTTTATTATCTCCAGTTTATTTCAAGGAATCATTGTTCATTTCAATATAATTGGCTTGCATTGGCTATCTGTTAATTATAGGAAAATAAAAAAAGATGGCTAAAAACTGATATCTCGGAGTGTTTAACTGATACCACTCATGATACCCATTATCATGATAATTATTCAACTAGAGAGAGGTCTCTAGCCAGCATAACTTCATTAATATAGCACTCAACATCATATTTCAGTGAGAATACTCACCTTAAAAATCAAGTATTGTTGTGAAGACATGAATTTTGTAATAACATATCCCCAGTTTAATTCAAAGTAATCGTTTTTTTCAATATAATTGAGATGCCTATTATCAATAGAAAATAAAAAAGATGGTTAAAATGTGATATCTCATAGTGTTTAACTGATACCGCTCATGATACCCGTTATTATGAGATATCAAGATATTAATTATTCAACTAGAGAGAGGTCTCTAGCCAGCGTAACTTCATTAATATAACACTCAACTCATATTTCAGTGAGAATACTCCCCCTAAAAATCAAATATAATTACGAAGACATGGATTGTTGTAATGTCTAAAATCCAGTTTAATTCATTTTTCGTTTCAATATAATTGAGATATCTGTTAATTATAGGAAAATAAAAAAAAATAGTTAAAAAATGATATCTCAGGTGCTTAACTGAAACTGTTCATGATACCCGTTATCATGACACGTCAAGATCTTAATTATTCAACTAAAGAGGGTTCTCTTAGACAAAAATTATTATTAGAAAATTGTAAATAGAACTCGAGGATCATCAATAGTCAGTAGAAATTTCTAAAAATAAAATCATAAATAATGATAATTGCTAAAGCTCACTTGTTTCGTTCGTCACCACCAGGCAAAATTAAATTTACGTAAGGGTAGATCAGGGAAGGGAATTATGTAATTTTGCCTGGTGGTGACGATCGCCATTGGTGAGCTTTAGCAATACTCAAAAATTTTAGTAGAAATTAAAAAAGTAATTTTTTGTATAATAATAACTTGTCCGTTGTAATGATAATAATTCTTTTTAATGATAATAATTTGTTGCAATAATAATTATTTGTATAAAAATTTCTTTGTCGTAATGATAATAATTTGTCACAGTATTTAATAATGTTTGTCGCAATAATAAATTTTCGTATTGTTGTAATGATAATAAATTGTTGAAGTATTTCTTTGTAATAATAAGTTTCTTTGCTTTATACCAATAATATTTGTAATAATAATAAAGAGACATACTTACCAATAAACTTCGCCCAAAAATCTTTATAAGAGAAATGAAATCTTTATAGGAAGAAGTAATGTAATAAATCATTTTTCTTATAATAAGAAATCGTTTTTTGGTAAAAATAAATAGTTTTTGATAAAAAAAATCGTTTTTTGATAAAAATATCAATTGTTTTCGATAAAAATATATTATTTTTTATGAGCGAAAGTGCAAAGAAAAATTTAGAGAAAAAAAATTTCATGGGAAGAAAATTTTCGTGAACGGATTTTTATGAAATAATGGATACACAAATCCTATTATAGTTAGATTAAATAACATGCATCATTATAGAATAATTTCAATGTACGCGTAACTGATATCAAAGTTACATTTTTGATCTGTCTGATTTTTTGATAATGATCATTAGATAATGATCACATTTTATATCCTCAGGATCTAGTCTTTTATGATATGAAATTGGTTGACTTTAATTTATATATATATATATTTTTTGGAATTCTTTTTAAATATTGACGAGGCTAACTATTATTGACATGTTTAAGAAGAATAGTATAATTATCGGTGTTCTTTATAAAAATTAAATAAATAAATGAAGTAAAAATTAATTAACAATGCTTATTATTTGTAAAATATATATATTACCTTGTATAGTAATCTTTTTCATTAAAAATAATAAAAAATAGTATAAAAAATATTTAAACAACAGTGTAAAAATTGAGCTTCATTTATTAAATTACCCAATTAAGTTTATTATTTAACAAAATACAACAATTTTTTGAGAAGTTTTAAAAGTGACTTTATAAACATTCAAATAAATTTACATTTTCGAATTAATATTGATGAAATGGAGTATTTCTTGCCACAATTACAAATTATTTATACAGTGTAATTAATTATTTTATATTCTAAATATTCCTTATATAAACTTTGTTTTTCTATCACAAACTTTTCTTTCTTGTAATTTTAATATTTCTTTTATAGCGAATATATATACGCTTAAAACATAAGATTTAATTTCTCTATTGTATGATTTTATTTTACTGTCTAATAAATTTATGCCTAAACTTATAAATCAAAACCATATTTAGCATAATGTTACTATACATACACTCCATCAAAAATATAACTAGGAAAACGGGAACCATTGTAAGTCCGGAGCAATAATCGTGTAATTGATATTTTAAATATAAAAATATCAAAACGTAATTTTTTATTTTCATGTGTTATCTCATAATCATTATCTAAAATCGGACGGACATCTTTCCAAAGTTGTTTTTTTGATTTTTTTTATATTTATCTTATAAATTATGCATCAATATCGAAACTAATAAGGCATCAAAAACGTAATTTTGTTATCACTTTACTCGTCCTTACTAAGCTCCGGACAATAATATATATCTAATATATTATTTTAGGCATTATCAATAAAATTATTTAATTGAAATTTTAATATACCATAAGACAAATGTTTTTAACTTTCTCTTTTGCATTAATTAAACTATATGATAATTCGAGCAAAGATTAAGAAAAGGTCAATTTGTAAAGTAAAAATAAGCCGGAAACAAGAACATGTTCAGATTTAAAAATAGAGGCATATATATTAAATGATTTTTTTTACAATTATTAAATAATTGTAAATGAAATGTATTTGAAAATATGAAAATAAAAAACTTTCTTCCAAAGAAAGAAGTTCTGTGAAAATATTCAAATTAAATTTTAAAAAATTAACTATATTATATGAAACCATCAAACTTACTACTGTTTATTATTTCATTAATAATAACGTAAAACTTTTCCTACATTCGATCTAATTAAATAATCGTTATAATTTGCGCTTTTAAATTTTTTTTCTCACGTTATTTTGTGAAAATTAGAATATTTATATAAGGGAATTTATACAAAGTTAATTGAATTTTACTTTAATCAATTGCATATAAAATTATTCCACCTGTTTATTTTTCTCTTATTTTTAGAATATATTATAGTAATTATGGAATTTAGTTAATAATTAGGATAGTTTATGGTAACAATCATTTTTTTAATTTAATAATAAAAAATGTAAGATTTTATTTTATTTTTTTATTAATAAAAATGATAGAATAAGAAAAGGGAAAAAAAAAATATGATGTTGAAAAACTTAGTAAAATAATTGTATATAATAAATGTAATAATAAAATGAAAAATAATAAAAAAAAAAACTATAAAAAAAATCCTCGAAATGTATCCTCTAACTCATTTATTATAATTGATTTACTAAATTTATAAATTTTTTTCTAAAAAATAACAAAATGTTACGTGTTGTTAAAAAGAATGATACCAAATATTACTGAATAATACCAAAAATAATAAAAAAATAATACTTTAAAATGACATCTCCGAAATTACTCTAGGAGGAGGAGGTGATTGATCTTGAGCAGGAGGTATTGCACTTTTTATAGCTTCATATAATTCGTCAGCTACGTTGGAATTCATTAACTAAATAAAATAGAATAAGATAAAATGAGTAAAAATATAATAAAAAATATAATTACAAAATCTAAAATTACAAACCTTAACAGCTAAATGAACGAGTTTATCCTCAAATGCAATCAATCTTACAAATTTCTCTTGTGATCTTTCGGCATGCATTCCCGGAAATAAGGAAACATTTAAGATCACTCTTAGAACATTTTCAGTTCGCATAACTATATAATTTTTTTTAACATGTTAGAAATATAATAACGGTTTATAATAATACTCAAATATTTATACTGAAAACTTACCTAATCGTGGAGATTTTTCATTATCTCTCGAATAATTAAGCTTTAGTATTCCTACTCCTCTTTCTTTCCATACTGAACCATCCATACAATACAATTTCGCTCTAACTGAGTGTAGAGTTACCTCATTCTCTTCACCAGTTGATACTAAATAAATAAATAAAATATTACTGTTATTCTAATTATAACAATAATAATTATTATTATCATTATCACCAATTTTTTTACCTTCTAGCTCTTGCAATAAAGGTTGTGTTCCTGTTCTAAACGGAACTTCTTTTTCCACATCATCACCTTCCTTATAATTACTTCCTTCACTATTTTGTGCAGGTTTCTCATCATCAAAAATTGATTTTTGTGAGTTAAACGCACTGCCAAAACTTCCCATTAATGAATTACTGGTATATTTGGTCCCCGATCCAAATATACCAGTGTATCCACTACCAAATATTCTTGGTTGTGGTTGTGGTTGTGGTTGTGTTTGGGGTTGTTGTTGGTATTGTGGTTGTTGCTCTGGTTGCACTTGTGGTTGTGGTTGTGCCTGTGGTTCTGGTTGTGCTCCTGGTTGTGGCTGTGCCTGTGGTTGTGGTTGAGATTGTGGTTGTGTATTATTTTTTCGTGGCCTTCCGCGGCCACGTTTTTGCTGAGGTAATTGTTTTAGCTGAGATTCAATATTTTTTCGTGGCCTTCCTCGGCCACGTTTTTGGCTTTGTTGTTGTCGTTCATTTTCGTCTGCCTTTCTTTTTCTTAAAGAAGTAGATGAACCTTCAGTTATAGTTGTATTAATCTTTCCTTTGCTCCGGCCCCTTCGAAGAGTAAGTTGGGTATTTGTTGTATTTACATCGGTTTCATTAGAATTAGATTTGCTGGCATTATTGGTTTTAGAATCGATATCGATAGGTGTTTCGCTTGAAAAATTAATATTTCCTTTGTTCCTGCCTCTTCGAGGGGCTATGGTGGGTTGGATATTTGTGGTGTTTAGATTTGTTCCATTGGAATTAGAGGTAGGTTTTTCGCTTGTAAGGTTAATGATTCCTTTGCTCCTGCCCCTTCGAAGGGTTATAGTAGGTTGAGTATTTGCAGTATTTGAATTTGTTCCATAAGAGGTACCGTCATTATCGATTTTAGAATTGATGTTAGTAGATTTTTCGCTTGTTGCATTAATCTTTCCTTTGCTCCTGCCCCTTCGAAGGGTTATAGTAGGGCGAGCATTTGCAGTATTTAAATTTGTTTCATTAGAATTAGAAGTGCCGGAATTATTGATTTTAAAATTGATGTTGTTAGTTGTTTCGTTTGCTACATTAATCTTTCCTTTACTTCTGCCTCTTCGAAGAGTTATAGTTGGTTGAGTATTTATATTAGGTCCATTAGAATTAGAAGGATTGGTTTCAGAATGTTTATTCATAGTAATTAATATTGGCAAATAAATTTTAGAAAATTTTAAATTTTTTATCGAAGAAAATTATTAAAGTTTAAGGTTTTTCTTGAAAATAATTAAAGTTTTAAGACTTTATCTAAGAAAATGTTGAAATTTTTTTGGTTTTTATCGAAGAAAATTTGAAGTGAAATTGGAATGATGGGTCCTTTAAATATTTATTTTTTTTGATTTTATGTAAACAAAAAATAATAAATTGTTGTTTACAAAAAAAAAAATTAATTTGTTTACGTGGTAATAAAAACAAGCATAAATTTAATAAAAAAAAAAATAAATAATAAACAAAAACAAATAACCTATTCAAACTGCCCCCCTTTTTTTATTTTCGATTGTACGCGGATCTGTTCAAAAGTTTTCTCCGAGTAGATGATTATCACGTGGAAGTTCTCACCAAATGAGAACTATTTTTTACTAATATTCATGTTGCATGAGTGACATGGCAACGTCCTGTCTGATGTCCATGTCCATATCATTGACAATACTACTTGGAGTACGGAGCTTGGGTTTTTTAGATATTTGTGTCATGGATGATATACTTACTTGACTTTTGAGAGAAGAATTGGAAGCTTGAGATTTGGTAAGTGTATTTAATCAATCTCTGATCCGTTCGTGAAGATTCTTCACAGTTTTCAACCAAATAATCTGCACTATGTTACATGACATATTAATTTTTTTCAATCCCTAATGCATTAATGCTGGAGGTAATAATTATTGGAAGAAATTTTAATAAAAACCTTTTTTTTTTTTTAATAAAATATATTTAATTGAATTTATACATGTTCAGTAGGTAGTGGTACATAGAATAGTCAATTGGGTGTCACACTGTGAAATTTAATTATGTATTTCTAAACACCAACCAGAAATATTGGAAAGGTTATTAGACCATTCTGTCTTATTTCGACAAATCCCTTTTGTGCAGAGGTCATTTTCTTATTCTGTCTTTCGTAAAATGACAAATTATAATTAAAAACCAATTTATATTATAAGCTTCTATAACATATAAATATAAAATCTAAATAAATAAAATTTAATGAAAAATAAAACAAGGTGAATTGAATTAATTGATCAATGAATTTCTTAAATGAGTCAATGAAAAGAAACAATTACATATTAATTATACTATATAAATGATGAAATGATGATGTCAATGATTTATTCAATTTTTTGATGATAAACGGCATTAAAAAATATTTATTTGTTTATTCCTTTTCGGCGAAGAATCCTGTTTGGGAGAATAAAATATAAGTGACTAATTTAATTTATAATAAAAATTAAAGGGTATTGCTAAAGCTCACCGAAGGTGATTGTCACCGCCGGGCAAAATTAAATAATTCCCTGATCAACTCCTAACCCTAACTTTGCCCGCGTAAATTTAATTTTGTCCAGTGGTGAAAATCACCACCGGTTAGCTTTAGTAATTTACAAAACTATTTAATAAAAATATACAATATAAACAATATAATAATAAATTTTTAAATTGATATATTAATATATTAAAAACAATAATAAAAAATAAATAATTAATTTTTTTGTATGTAGTTAAAATTCTTCGGAATTTATCTTTAATATCTACAAATTACTTTAAATAAAGTTTGATGACTAATTTTCCTATATTTTATTTATAATTTACGCTTTAATCCACATCACGTTGACAAAAATTTCCCATTTTCCGTAGCAAAATATGGAGATAGTTCAAATCCATCTTCTACTATCTCTTGAAAACTATCCATTCTAATCACTATCTGCAGTTACTTATCTATTGTTCCATTGCCATTTATCAATTTATTTTTGAATTAAAATATTGTATTCAATTACTAAAAAAAAAAAATTTTTATTAATTTCATAATCTTAAAACATTACGGAATTTTTAGCAAATACCTTAAATTATTTATATTAACATTGTTATGCCATTTTCTTTTTGTTTTAATTGGCCAGTAGACAGCATCTATAATGTCTTTTTCGGTTACCCATCCTTCATAAAAGCATTTTCTAACCTCGTATTGACCACTAATATCGCAACATTCCACAGCTTTCTTATGCCAATAAAATGCTTTCACCCGACATAACCATTTTTATCATTACATCCTCACCCTAAATAATTTTGAGCATAATAATCTTCTTTTCAGTTGTCTTTAAAACCCATTTAAATGCTTTTTGATAATCTTTATCCACACTATACTATTAATATTCCCAGCAAGGTCCAATTCATATTCCACTGAAACCCTTTGGCTACACCAACCAAGCGACAAGAGTTCCTTTTTCTACAGATTTCAAATATAATTCAAAATGTTTTTCTTCATTTTTTTTTAAATACCAAATCCATTCCTAGGACAAAGATTATAAATTCTATAATTATTAGTATAAACTTCTTCTATTACTATTCTAGTTATAGTGGTCGTTTCTTTTAGTTGTCTCTATTTATAGTTTGTTCGATGTTTACGTGATTTTTTTTTTTTACTTTCTGTGGTAATTCTATTTCTTTTTCCGGATAATAAAATATTTTACCATTTATATCTTTTTTCAGTGTATTAAATGTAGCATCTAATATTTTGGTTATTATACTATTGATTTAATAATTTTTGGGTATTAGTCCAATACAATGTCGATGAAGCTTAATTCTGTATTCTTGAGCTTATAGCTTAGCTTATTTCTATTTTAATTCTTTCTCCTTCTTCTAATATTACTTAATTTATGATAGATTCTTTGACTGCGAGATTCAGTGATGTTAGAAAATTATTGCATGTTAAAACGTGAAGAGTGTTGCCATCTTACAAAAGATGTTTTATCTTCGTAGAGGTCAGGATATTCTGCCATTAGGTTCTTTTTTACTGTCGTTAAATATTTTATATTAAATGTTCACTTTCGCTGACTTCATTTGTTGCTAACTTATTGGTAATTGTTCCATTGTGTAATAAATTTTATGTATGTGTCCATCCGTTTCCCTCCGTATATCTTTGTTAATTCATGAATGATGTCGTCTAAAGTTTACCATGTTGATTTTTTGTTGGACTTTACTAGGTTCTTAATGGATATGTCAATGCCTTTGTGTAATTTGTCAAAAGATTAATCAAACCTACATTTAATTGGATTCCGTCATTATTGGTTTCCCTCGATTTTGCCAATTCATCCAATGTATGTTCCCAGTGTGTGCTTCTACTTTGGCTAGTTCGATCTCTAATTCATTTATCTTGGCAATTTCGAAAATAACCGGAAATTTAATTTTTTTTCAGGCTTTGTTTGTATACTAGTTGTAAGCCATTGCTGGTATGTTGACACCACTGTCAGTACAAATATTGACTGTTGTTTGCGAGGTTGTAATTTTAATATCTCATAGTTCTATTCTAGGGAATTAAATGCATGAGTATTCGAAACCCCTTTATCAAACAAGATTGATTCGTCAAGTTAGTGTTTATTTTAATTCCTATTCCCAGACTTTTGATGGTTATCACTGATCTGTTGGTATAGATTACGAAATTATGATACTTGTTAATTTCTGTCTGTCCCTTTCATTTGAACTTGGGTGACAAACTTAACTCACCAGTAATTGTGTTAATTCTTTCAACTCTGTTTTAAATGTACAATCTTGGGATTGGAGTTATTTCTTTTTTCTGAGATATCTGTTTCTGTAATCTCATAGCCATACATGGGTTAGGCATTTCTTCTCGCATTTCCCTCACGAATAATTTGATTAAGATCTCTTGACTACACGCGAGGTTGGTTTCTGAATTCTTCCTATTCTTATTTCCGAATTTTTTAGGAGGAGTATCGTTTGACTTCGTTTTGCTTTCTCTTTCCTAACTTAGATGCTTATCGGGTTTAGAGCATTTGCATTATTTTCCTAATTTGATCTTTCCATACTTCGATATATATCAATATCATCAGGTTTTCATACCCTTTTGGATTTTTCTTGGAGATGTATTCTTGATTGAGGTGAGGTGGATCCGATGTAGTGTGTGACTGAGGACTACATTTAGTAATTGTTCTAGATATAATATCATGTATTTTTGTTTTTTGCATACTGATCTTTCTCTAGTAGGTTGCTATTCGAATTCCATAGATAGTTTACCTCCCCATTTGGAATATTAGGAATCTAGTGGCTCGTGTTGGATGTTAGGTTAATGTTTTGTTTGGCTAATTCTTTGATTATATATTCGTTTAGATTTCTTGGTGTCCCTGAGAATCTATCAATTTCTCTTTGCTACAAACAGGCCGTGTAGACTAAAGATAATTCTGTAATTATTGTATTCGAATTGATGCTGACGTTCCCATAAAGCTATTATCACTTATTTTCTGCACAAATTCTGATGCATTCTCTATTAACAATGACAATATTTCGTTTTCATTTGTAAGAAAATAAATTTCTTTAAAAAATGGAAGAAAATGAGAATATATAAATGATTTTATTAATAATTTGAAATTTAATAAAAAAAAACAACACTTTCCTCTACAACTTAACATGCGAAAATTCTTACAACTTCCTCCACCACTTCTCTCTCCTACTTTCATACTCTCTAAATTCTCTGACTTCATTTTGTCCCACGTTACCCTCTTCCTCCCCATAAACACATCAAGTTCCTCCTCGTTCAGTGGATACCAAGCTTCCTCAACTTTTTCCCTCCTATTTCACGTTCGATATATGTAAACTCCTATAAAATTCAAAAATTATAATTAGTATAAACTTCTTGTTATTATTATTTTATTAACATATTGATTACAAAAGAAAAATGAATTAAATACATTATTTATTAATTTTTTTAGAAATATCATTTTATGTTTGTCTATTGGCAGAGCCATTAGTTCTTTATAAGCTTGGTCGTTTAGACCAAACCAAACTTCCTCCGCCTCCTTTGCTTCTTTTTTTTGTTTTCTTGCTTTCATAATGTTTGCTGGAGTTTAGAAATTAAAAATTTAGTTATAAATATAAAAGTTTATTAAAAAAAAATTACTAAAATAATAAAATAATTCGTACCAGGTGAAAAATTCTTAAGTTTTTTGATAATTGAAGTCATTTTTGTTCGCAAGAAAGATTTAGGATTTCAAAAAAAAAAAAATTTTTTGCCTTTGATGAAAAAGGGGGAGATTCAAATATTATTGATCAAATCTGATGTAATAACATAAATAACTATTAATTATTACATCAGATTCGATAGTTTAAATGATTGATAATAATTAGTTATCAAAACCGATGTAATAATTATTACATCAGATTTAAATCATACTATCGCAGCACAGAAAAAAGAATAATCCAATATCATGTGAAAGAATTTCTTAAATAATTAACAATTGCATGATAAACATACCATTAGACAATCTAATTAAGGAAATATTATGCAACATTTAAAAAAAAAATTAGTTAATAGCTATCATGAGTTTTTTCTGCGCAATTCATGATAATTATTAACTGATTTTTTTTTTGATAAGATGCATAATACTCCAAATTCATTATTTAATTATCAATTGTTAATTTAATGATAACACATATTTAAAATACAACAATAAATTTAATTATTTTATATATAAAGAATGAATAAATATTAATACACAGTCAAATTTTTTTTATTAAATATCAAACTGTTAATCACGTTTATTGATTACACAAAAAAATTAACTCGCTCACATGAATTTTTGTTTAAGGACTTACTAATTATAGATAAAAAAAAAGTATTATCATTATGGGTACTAACTGGGGTACGAATTTGATGAGACGAGGGCACATATATATAATTATAGTAGTCGCTACTTATATTAATATAAATTTTTGTGTTACAGAATAATATATTAGCGAGATTTTTTATAATAATGCTAGAAACTATAATAATACTTTCAATTAATTTAAATTTTTTATTAATACGCATGATAAGCATAATAAAAACAAATTTCTCAAATAATTATCTTGTGATCCAAAAAAATCAAGGATTTCCATAAAGAATCTTAATGAGAATAAAGAACGCTATAAAAGAAATCTCGATATAATGTAATAATATGATAACACATAATATTCTTTTTTCAATCGAAAAAAAGTTCCTCAGCCAATCAACTTAACTAAGAATCATTAATAATAACTAATATTACATTAGTCTAATAATTAATAATTATTAGCAAATTCTTTCATAAAACCCAACCCATAGCCAAAATCCATATTTAGAAATTTTTGGCAAGTGGAATAAAAGTTGGATAATAATATGTTATCTTTTTATTATGATTATCTAATTTCTTCTACAGTTTTCCATGATATTCTCATTAAGTTTCTATATTTTTAGATTTCACACACTGATACGAAAATCCTTTATTTTTGAGATCACAAGTTATCATTTTTTTTTTATCTTATATTTGATCACACGATCAACGTTCTTTTTTTTTTTTTAAAAAAAAAAAAAACTCTTCTTATTTCATCTTAAATTTAATAAAACAAGGTAATTTTTACTTTAAAATAACGCTCTGTTACTTCAAGACTTATTTGGTTTCCTTAAATCGCGTTATATCTGTTTTTTTCTCACAATACTTACAGCTTAAATTTATAAAAATGCAAGACCTTATCATCTATAACTTCTTTAAAGAAACTGCACCAACATCATATGTTTTGGGCAGTTTTATGGCAGATATTGTCATATTAATGTGGAGCTTAATGAAAATTAGCAATTACAATACTACAAACTTGCGCTTTAAAAATTTTTGCATTGAGGTATTTATATCATTATTTATTTCATCATAAAGTAATAGAAAGACCCATACAAATAAATATTCAATACCTTTTTTGAACATTTTAGTTAATATTGAACCTAAAAATTTCAAAAGAGACTGTCTTCATCGCCATTAAATATGTACAAAAGTACATGAAAAGAGGGAACACAGCAAACTTTAAAAACGAATATCAACTTTTTACGATCGCTCTAATGGTGGCACATAAGTGGCATAACGAACCGGTCTATAAGAATAAAACGTGGTCGGATTTAACACATTTCCCTCTTGATGAAATCAATAAGTTAGAAATTGCATTTATAGAATCTTTAAATTACAAGATTCATATTGGAGGGGACAAATATAATTTTTGGTTAAAATGTTTGAGAGAATATGCCAAGACAGGAAAACTCATTTCACTATTTGTTGAACGATTCAACAAAAACTCTACTCGATCTCCCCCACCACCACCAGGGTTTGGTTTTTCTATAAAATCTAAAATTATTCCTACTCCAATAGGATATGAACGAAATCGATATAGATTATATAACTTATTTGACGGAATTGAAGTTGATTTTTTTAAACAAACCCAATATAGATTATATAATTTATATGACGGATTTAAACTTGATTTCTTTAATTAATCATTTTATTTTATTTTTTTTATATTTTGTTTTCCTTTTATTTCTTGAATGTCATTCTTAATTTTCTTTAAATTCCTTTTTTCTTTTATTTTGTAAATAAAATTATCTTTAATATGGTCTATTGAAAAATTTATTATTTTATTGTTGATTTTCTATATATCTCACAATGTTTTATCATTGAAAAATTAATGATACATTATTTATGTGGAAAAATCTCATTTTTTTCGTGCTGTTTGAAGATCTATGAAGCAAGTTCTTTTTATTTGTTTTCGAGATCATTTGTGTTCGTGTAATAATGATGATTTTTTCAATTCATTTTGTAGGAAATATTTAGATTATTTCTTAATATAAATGAGACAAAAAATTTAAATAAATATATATAAAGTAAATAACTATATTGATAAATTAAATATTATTAATCCGATGAAATAAATTTACTGCATCAGATTTCTTTGTAATTTAACTGGTGGCTTCTCTCTGGGTGCTGAAGGTAGGATCAAATCTCGTAATAAATATTGCACAACAATTGTCATGCTTTTTGACATTAAGATCAAATTCATACTCAGATTTATTAAATATTGTACAACAATTGGTATTCTTTCTGTCATCAGGAGCAAATCATCCTCCGGTTAAGTATTGTACAAGTATTGTGCAATAATTGTCATGCTTTCTGTCATTATGATCATCTTAATATTGCACAACTATTGTCATCTTGCTGTCGTTAGGATCAAATCCATCCGCATCCTCCTGTTTAATAAATATTGTTCAAGTATCGTGCAAAAATTTCATGCTTTCTGTCGTTAGGATCATCTTCATATTGTTCAGTATAGTCCATCCTCCGGTTAAATAAATATTGTACAAATATTGTGCAACAATTGTCATAATTTCTTTCGTCATCATAATCATCCAAATATTGTACAAAAATTGTCATGTTTGCTGTCATTAGGATCAAATCCATCCTCCGGTTCAATAAAGTATTATGCAACAATTGTCATGTCTTTAAACTTTCAGTTTTTATTCATATAGATGACCTAATAAATTATTGGCCTATGCCAAAACTTTAATTCTTTTCTTAAATTATCACCAAAGTGATTATCATGAACAGTACTTATGCTGTTTATTTTAAAAAATCATAGAATGAAAATATAAATAAATTTAATATAATAAAACAGAATTACCAATCGATTCAAAAAAAAAAAAAATTCTTTAACAAATAAAACATATGAATTTCAGTCAATTCTTCGCGAAAATAAATATGGATTTTCTCCAAGACTTTTTGGGATATTTGCGATTGTGAGAACGCGTAACTCATAATCATGTGAAATTTCAATGTAACATAAAACTTTCGAATTGATAGTGTAACAGCATCAAGAAAATTCATTAACCGTAATATTACGCAATATTTACGTAATCTATGTACAAATATTTATGCCTAAAAAAATTTTTTTATCAATAATTTCATCTTAACTTTTTATCTCTGAAGAAAAAAATAATAAAGGCAAGGTAAAATATATCAAAATGAGAATTAGTAATACGTAATATGATGAAATTTGCATTCTTTTCTCCTAATCATATCGACCATGGTGAAATTTGAAAGATTATGTTTAATCAAATATTATAGCCAGTGTATCTGAACGTAATATGATGACATTTATATTCTTTCCCTGTCATATCGACCATGGTGAAAGTTGAAAGATTATTTTTTTAAACATTTATACCAGCTTATCTGATTACAAAAAAAAAATTTAAAGTGATAATGAAAAAATTATTTTTACTTTTGACTAATATCCATATTTTTACCTTTCTTTTTATGGTTCAACGATTTACATGACCTTTCTCGATGGATTACTCAACGATACTTAACAATACTAAACGATACTTAATGATGGGTAAGTAAAAAAAATTGATTATAGATATTAGTTTTTATAGAGAGATATATTTATTAGATAGAAATAGTAAGAGACATGGTCAAAGAATATCAATTCCTAACCTTGACTGTCTGATTTCTTATTTTTATTCTTCGGTTTACAATAACACTTCTTTCCACATTTATGAAATCATAGTCATCATTTAAATTTCCAAAATTATTATTCATCAACCTTTTTTAATGTCACATTCCATCCCGTATTATTGAAAATCCACCATTTGCTATTTCTTTAAATATCCTTAGATCTATCAAAAGTTTATCTAAATAATAATCTACATTTATTTGAGAATCTTGAATAAGCTTATCTATTTAGTTACCCATTTATCAAATCATTTGAAAATGTTTTGAGTCACAGGATTTACCAGGAAAGCATCAATAATAAGTTTAGTAAAGAAATAAACACAACATGTCATAATGCAAACGAAACGACAATATGAAAAATGAAAAAAGTCTCGGGGAAAAAAAATAATTTTATACAGAACAGAACTTCGATATAACTATAAAAATGCTATAAAATGGTCTCAAATAAAAGCCAACCATATAAATAGAGAGGGTAGAATACCAAGAATGTGCTCATAAATTAAAGAAAACGAAAGGAAGATAATGGAACAATATTCAAGAAAAATCAGATTAGAACACAAACAATCTTCAAATTTCTTTTTAGGTTGTGTACAGAGTATAATCTACCTAAATCCAAATGGATAGCCAGTAAGAAAATGAACATAAAGTAATAGGAAAGAAATAAAGAAATGAAGTTACAAAGAAAAATCGAGATATATCTGTCTCTTTGATATCATACAAAAATATATGGAACTCACATCTTTGTAGGTCTCGCGTGAAGGACGTTCGCAAAGCATGAAAAAAAAAACAATTGCATAATTCAACTAGACAACGAGAAGGGAGATAAATAGAAATACCTATGGCATACTTTAAGATGTGGACAAATGAGTCAGAAATTAATCATTAAAAAACAGATTAAGAATGCCATTCGATAACATAACAAAAACAATAGAAACTATAAACTTAATTCAAAATGAATCAGATGAAGGAATCACTAAACAAGAAGATAACAATATAAGTGAAACGGGGAAGCGAGATGATAATAACAATAATAAAGCCGACAAAAAACTTGAAGAACAGAAATTTAAAAATAAAAAGACATTAAATTATATACTGAACTGATGAATCTTTGGATTGAGATTGCAATATTGCGTGGGATTAGAACGGATAATTCAAGATCAAGAAGAAGAAGATTACTGCAAATTCAGAAGTTACATAGAACACTTTTTATCATCAATGCGAGCAGAATTAACTACCGGCGATAATAAAAGGAGCAGTAGTTAGTTTATGCACAGATAGCATGTAGAATAATTAAAAAAGAGAGAGGCTAATATGGAAGGAAAGTAAGAATCCTATAATTTTACAAACAATCTACGAGATAACAATAGAGTTAAATTAATATAAGGTAGAAGTACACATGGCAATTCATATTAATAATATTCTCTAAAATCAAGATGATTCAATTATTCAATTTTTTTTTTCTATTGCATGGGCTTTATTTTTTCGCAATAAACTATTATTTTATTTATGTAAAATTATAACATTAGATATAAATTAAAATAAAGTTTTAGTAAATCATCAAACAATAAATAAAAAGTGATATGCTATTCGTTGATAATCAAGATATTTTCAATAATCTAAGTGAAAATATATTTATTAGATTAAAATCATTAATAATATTAAATTTTTTTATTATTATAACATTAATGTATCAGCGAGATCGATCAAATATCCCAGGCTTCCTTAGTACTCACGATAAATTAGATCTACATAGTTGCAATAAACTGAACTGTACGACCAATATGATGCAAGTAAGTATCATGATCAGCCTTTTCACGGGAATGTCAAAGTTAATAATTAGATTAACCCGCATGACTACAATATCTCTAGCCATTATAGTTATATTAGTAGAGATCGAGACTTTTGCAATTCCTTTACAAAGTCTATCCATTACTTCATCATGTTCAGTGGTGGAAAGACACCATGTAAAATCGATAACTTTATAATAAAGTTCAATCTTAAGCTTAGCAATTCTATCATATTTCTAATAAAAATAAGTGAATAACTAAATAAACAAATAAATTAATAAATAAAAAACAATAAAGAAATAAAAAATAATTAAATTTACATCTTAATTGTCAAATCGAATATAATTTACTCATGGCGTTCTTAATATGGATTTGATCCTAATGTCCGAAAGCATGACAATTGTTGCACGATAGTAGGATGATCTTAATTACATAAAGTGTGACAATTGTTGTACAATATTTGGGGTCCTAATGACATAAAGCATGACAATTGTTGTACAATATTTATTACCTTCAACATCTATTCTCTGATTAAGCACCCAGAGAGAAAGCTACCAGTTAAATTAAAAGGAAATCAGATGCAGTAAATTATTTCATCAGATCAAAAAAACGATGGAGATGATCAATAGTATATTAATTTTAATAATTTAATTTATTTCCTTTATGCTTATTTATTAAAATTATTTCTAGTTTTTTATTACTAAATAACACAATATATTACCTACGAAGAGAATCAAATAAAAATCATCATTATTACAAATGATCCCAAAGACAAATAAAAAGAACTTGCTTCATAGTTCTTCAAAAAAAAGAGATTTGCCACAAATTTTATAAATCTGACTAATGTATATAAATATATCATCCACTTTTCAATAATAAAACATAGCGAGATATATAAAAACTTGACAATAAAATAGTAAATTTTTCAATGGAATATATTAAAGATAATTTTATTTACAAAATAAAAGAAATAAAAAATTTAAAGAAGCAAGGAATAACATTTAAGAAATAAAAGGAAAACAAAATATTTTTGAAAAATATAAAATTAAAATGATTAATTAAAGAAATCAAGTTTAAATCCATTGTATAAATCATATAATCTATATTGGGTTCGTTTAAAAAAATCAAATTCTATTCCATCATATAAATTATATAATCTATATTGATTTCGCCCATATCCTATTGGAGTAGGAATAATTTTTGATTTTATAGCAAAACCGAAACCTGGTGGTGGTGGAGGAGATCGAGAGGAGTTTTTATTGACCCGTTCAACAAATAGTGAAATGAGTTTTCCCGTCCTAGCATATTCCGTCAAACATTTTAACCAAAAAGTATATTTGTCCCCTCCAATATGAATCTTATAATTCAAAGATTCTATAAATGCGATTTTCAACTTATTAATTTCGTTGAGAGGGATATGAGTTAAATCCGACCAAGTTTTATTCTTATAAACTGGTTCGTTATGCCATTTGTGTGCCAACATTAAAGCGATCGTAAAAAGTTGATATTCGTCTTTAAAGTTTGCTGTGTTCCCTCTTTTCATGTACTTTTGTACATATTTAATAGCGATGAAGACAGTCTCTTTTGAAATTTTTAGGTTCAATATTAACTAAAATGTTCAAAAAAGATATTGAATATTTATTTGTATGGGTCTTTCTATTACTTTATGATGAAATAAATAATGATATAAATACCTCAATGCAAAAATTTTTAAAGCGCAAGTTTGTAGTATTGTAATTGCTAATTTTCATTAAGCTCCACATTAATATGACAATATCTGCCATAAAACTGCCCAAAACATATGATGTTGGTGCAGTTTCTTTAAAGAAGTTATAGATGATAAGGTCTTGCATTTTTATAAATTTAAGCTGTAAGTATTGTGAGAAAAAAACAGATATAACGCGATTTAAGGAAATCAAATAAGTCTTGAAGTAACAGAGCGTTATTTTAAAGCAAAAATTACCTTGTTTTATTAAATTTAAAAAGAAATGAGAAGAGTTTTTTTTTTAAAAAAAAAAATGAACGTTGATCGTGTGATCAAATATAAGACTAATAAAAAAATGATAACTTGTGATCTCAAAAATAAAGGATTTTCATATCAATGCGTGAAATCTAAAAATATAGAAACTTAATGAGAATATAATGGAATACTGTAGAAGAAATTAGATAATCATAATAAAAAGATAACATATGATATTATCTAATTTTATTCTACTTGCATAATGAGTTTATAAAAAATCTAGCCAATTTATTTTTAAATTAAAAATATAAGAATAATTGTTCATTTGTAAAATTTTTGGATACTTTAAATCTGTCAAATACAAAATAACAAATAAAATAATCAACCAATTATATGAGAATTTAAAATTAACTTGATCACGTTTTTTTTATAACCACGTTAGGAAAAATACAAGATTTACATATTGCTTTTTCAATTGTTCATGAAATGAAGATTTCTCCAATTAGCTTAGCAACAATGGAATGGATAAGCATGATTTATTCAGTCCACGAAATACTCTAGCGAAAATTATTACGGAATTATATAATCAGTTTTTTTATTGGATCATTTTTTATCATTTTAGTTACATTTATTAATAATGTGAAATATTTAGACTTTTATTTTATTATGATCGATCTAATAAACTATTAATATTTTTCTTTATCTAAGATGTATTAAGAAATGAAATGTAATTTTTTCAAGGATCGTAATAAACACAAGTAATAATAAAATCATAATAATGAAATAATGAATTAAAAATTTTCACAATTTCGAATTAATACATTTTAAACGACAACGCTAGGAAGGTGTAAATAAATTACTAATTAAACATTTTACTGAAAGTTTACTTAATTGAGGTGGATTTATTAGATAATTAATTCTTAGCGTTCCAATTCCTCTTTCTTTCCATATCTGCTCATATATGCAATATAATTTTTGCTATAACCGAGTGTCGATTCTCTTCTCCTGTTAATGCTAAATCAATTAATAAAAAAATAACTATTATCAATGTCTCTTTCTTCTACTTCTTATAATAAAGTTTGCGTTCACGTTTCAAAGGAACTTTACTTTCCTCATCATTCTCATTCTCTCCACAATTTTGTGCAGGTTGCTAATCAAAAATGATTTTTGTGAGCTGACAACCCTTCCCATTAATGAATTTCCTGTATATTTGGTCCTCGGTTCAATATACCAGTGTATTCACGACCAAATGTTAGCTGTGGTTGTGGTATTGATTCAGGTTGGAGTTGCAGTGTTAGTTGAGGTTGATGTTAGTTTTGGTTTTTAGTTGTAGTTGTCATATATATTGTGCTCTTGTTATTATCATTTTTGAAAAATGGTTTTATTTAAAATTTTATTTGAATATGAAGGTAAAATTTGATTTTTAGTTAAAAAATTTGAGCTTAATTAATTTAGTCACGAATGAAGTGAATGAAGTCAAGATATAAAAAAAAGCAATGCATACCTAGAAATTATCCAAAGGTCTTCCGCCTAAAAGATATGTTGACCAATTTTCAATTCTGGAAGCTGATCCAATGAATCAAGTTTAGTGGAATTCAAGATTTGAAAATGAAGCGAATCAAACCAAAAAGGCTGTTAAGATAAATTAATGATAAAATGACAAAGAGAAACATCATTGAGATGAAGATAGGTTTAACATGCATATCCATTAATCATGGTTGAATTAATTTAGAACAACAAGATCGAGCCATCTGAATCGACGGATGCAATCATAGTATTAATTCCAGCTCCAAATTTTTGTAAGTATTATCCTGTTTCCTAAATATAACATAATTATAAGTAATTATACTTGCTCCACCAAAACATAATCAAGAACGTCACTATGACTTACATCAAGAAGTTGTACCAGAATCCACCTAGTTTTGTAAGCGTCGACTACACCTATAACTTTGTCAATTTTAAAGTGAGGAATGCTAACTCGGTAATAACTCCTTAAACAGTAGTGTATAAGTACCAAAATTAAGACCAAACACTAATACATTGGCACCTTCAACAAAGTCTTTTTAGTTGAATTTATAAACTTATGCATGAAAATAACGCTATCAACAATGTAGGGTTTAATACGTGTAGCCAATTGCCAATCAAAAACTGAACATTATAGAATTTCGAAATTGTATGGATGAATATTCAAATATTGATAAAAATTACCTTGTAAACATCATATTCAAAATTTACATATCGTCTTATCCTATTTGTCATCAATTGATGAATATTTTTTGCAGAAACCTTAATGTTCGACAGATGATGAACTGATAGACCAAACATGAAGCTTTTGATGAATGTGCTGGACCAATAACCTTCTTCATTGCGCCAATACTAATATTTTCAAGTAAAAAAATAGGTCAGAGAAATTCTATAACATATATTTTATTAAATAAATGAAAGCAAAAAAAAACAACATTCTCATGGATAATACACCTTGCATCACCTAATTAAACTTCATTTAAGTCATCAACAATTTGATGAAAATTGAAATAAAAATTCGATCAATCCTATTTAATAAAAATAATTTAAATTTTATTAGTATATTTATTTATTAATGTTAACTGAAATTTAATTAAAATTTTTTATAAACCTTTCACTTCTAATTTTTCCAATTCCTCAAAAAATGATGGAACGTGGATGACTAATCCTGAACCAATGAAAGAAATGCAGTTGGGGTTGATTAAACAAATAATAATAATATCATTGAACCTTATTTTAGTAACCTAGTTTTAAATGTCTATATAGTAGAGAGATATTTTTACCTGATAGAATTAGGTGGAAATCATATTTAATACCATTCAAAAACAAATGGTATGTCTGGGATTGTTTCCACCCTTAAAAAAAGTAATAGAAAATAAATAGACAAATAAATAAAAAAATATAAACATAAAAATTAATTTTGGTTTGCTTCTTTTGCTTTATTTTAAAATTTTCATGAGTATAATTACAGTGCAACGTGCACAAATATCAGCTTCTAGCATCAACTCATCAGCTAATTTACTTTTCCTTCATCACCCCATTGAGTGCCCATGACTAAAAGTCTCACCTTTAATAGAAACGTTCGAGCTTTAAGATCTCATCACAATAAACGAGACGGGTGTGTTTTCTGTCATGGAATTATTTGGCTAAAGGAAAAATTTACACAAATATATAATTTGAACATCTAATCAACATAAGAAATTGAAGGAAAAGCTGTGAAAAGGAAGATTAACATTAAGTAGTCTTTAATTTAGAAAATAAACTTATAATTTTAATGATATTTATTATATGCATTTATTCTTATATTGTACAAATTTTAAAAAATTAAATTATAGGAAATAAAATAATATTCTATTTACATCAAATAAAAGATTTTTCCGTTTTTCCAATAATATTAAAATGCTTACATTATAATCATCGTTTCTTGGTTTCCAGTTCGCGTTAGAAATCTACAAATAGAGAGACAATACACAGGACATAGCCTATACACCGCCATTAACAAACAAATAAATAGAATAAAAAGAATAAATAGAAGACAACAAACCTCACATCTAAATCTTCTAAATCTTCTAAATATTCTAAAAATTTTTTTCCAAACCTACCTCGTCCTAATATATGTGAAAAAAAAATAAAAGTTAATATTATAAAATTCAAAGATTAGGAATTAGAAAAATGGAAAAACGGAAAATTAAGAAAAAGTGAGAAAGTGAAATTAAGAAAAAAAAAGAAAAAAAAAAGTATTTTTATTTTATGAGAAAAAAAGATTTTAAAGATTCTTAGCTATGAAGTAATGCACGCATAACTTTTAAAAGTGTGTGAAACATTGAGATTTTATCTATAATCATATGTAAAAAACTGATATAAAACCTGTGTTTAACAGTTTTTAGATAAAAAATTGCGTCATACCGAGATCATTGAAAGTTTATTAAAGTAAAAACTAATGTTTATTTTAAATTTTTTATTTCTATAAAAATAAAATGTTTTATTCTTTTTTTAAAACAAAAATCAAAATGGAATTAAATAAAGGTGTACAATTTAATAATGCTCTTGAACTACAAGAAAATTCATATTTACAATCTAAAACTGCTAAAAGTATAAAAATTGAGAAAGCAATTTCATTTTATCAAAAGAATTTGTCACTTTAAAAAATTTTAGACAAGAGATAATCGAAACTAATCCAAGATGAGCAATATGAAATAAAATTAAACCTTATTTCTGATATATCTGTATAGAAATCAAGTAACAGATTATTTTTTTCATAAAGCTTTCCTTTTAGCTTGTCGAGGAGGAGAACTTTACTAAAAGTTGATCAATATAATTTTCGTGATGACGTTGGAATTGATTACCAAATATATTGGTCTAAAAATAATCAACGAGTTGTAACAGTTGGAACAGGATCACGTTATGACTGTCAATTATATATTGAAAAAAGACCATCAGATGCTGACTCTTGATTCTTATTTTCAAACAAATACAAATGTGAGTTAATTACATAATTATAATTATTTATTGTATTGTTATAATGAAATCTTTAATTTATTAGGGCAAGAAACAGGAATTTGCTATCATAGGCAACATATTAGACGAAATACTTTATCTGGATTTATGAAAGATCTTGTTCGGAAAACTGGCATGCAAAATTGAAGGGCTAACAAACCAATCTGGACGAAAGACATCCGCACAATTAATGCAAAATGCAAATATAGAAGAACATGTAATTATGAATATCACTGGACACCAAAGTGTTGAAGTTGTACGAAGATATAAATTACCTAATTACCAACAAAAAATCGATACTTTACAACAACTTATCTCTTTTATACTTTTCAAGATCAAACTGAGGATCAAAATGTATTTCAAGTTCAAAAATAGTAGTAATCAAAAAATTCTACAAAACAAATTCAAGATTATAATACATAACCATTACAATTTCTCAAATTATGAATCTCAAATCCCAAGAATTAACTACTAGTAATAGCAATATAGAAACTAAGCAAATGCCTAACAAATGTCATTTCGAAAGTTAATTTTTATTTTAAATAAGCTCTACATATGTATATGAATGTATTAATATATATTTAAAATAAATAAATGCTTTGCGATTTTCAATACAAATGAATATTCTTTATTATTTTGTTCGACATGAGGTTATATATCCCGGTGTAACGTAATTTTTGATATTTTCCCATATAGGAAATCTGAAAAAATATCAATATGTAGTATCACGGATGAACAATCAGTATAAAAGATTATTATCCCATAAAAATTACTTTTTTTTAAAAAACAAAACCATGAGTTGATCAGATAAATTCCTCATCTATTTTTTGCTTTCTTCCCACACTTTTTGTCTTAACTTTTCATTTTCTCCGCTTTTCTAATTTTTATTATTATTAAAGAATAATGAAGAATAAAAATATTAACCTTTTGTTTTTTTTTCACATATATTAGGACGAGGTAGGTTTGGAAAAAAAACTTTAGAAGATTAGAAGATTTAGAAGATTTAGATGTGAGGTGGGTTGTTTTCTATTATATTCTATTTATTCATATCGTTTGTTTGTTATTTAATGCTAATGGCGGCGTATAGGACTATATCGTGTGCGTCGTCTCTCAATTTGTAGATTTCCTAACGCAAACTAAAACCAAATAATGATGATTATAATGTAAGCATTTTAAATTTTATTTATAGAAAAGCGGAAAAAGGAAAAGAGAAAATTTCAAGTATCTATTTTAATATTTGTAACATAATTCTTAATGAATAAAGCAATAAAATAATAAAATTTGAAAGAGGTATTGAAATCATTATTTTTATTTGAAAGTGCTATTTACATTATTGTTTTTAAAAAAAAAATAATGCATAATTTTCTTCATATGAATGTAATCTCATCCTGCCTTTCAGGAAGATTTTTTATCCCTTTCTGATACAGAAGACGAATTTCCTCATAAAAACCCTATATATTGGAAATATAGTACTATGTATTTTCAAAAACTTTGTGAATGAACGAAAAATGAAAAGCATTTTAAAAATGAATATCAAACATGGTTTAATAGACCAATAATCCTTAACACGCTATAATCAAATCAATAAATATGTCATAAAATGGTTAGTAAATTCCTACTGCGTTGCTCTAAATGCAGTGAAGTGAATTCTGTGTGTTAATCGGATGAAACTCCTAGCGAATGGTTAGTCTCACTTATAGTATTTCAGAGAATGATCTTTTACCTGCTGAAAAAAAATACTTTGAAGCTAGAATGATATATTTATTCATAAAGTCTGGGGTGTTACCACATCCTTAAGTAAACAAAGACCCGAACAAAGGACTTAAAGCTTTCATATGCGAATGCTCCTCTTCAACTGGATGGCTGATCTTTATTGGTGTAAAAATAATCGAGATGTGGGCATTTTGAAAATATGGGTCTTTACATATTCGTGATGATATACCCAAAGCTTCATGGCTGAATGCTTATCTTGTATAATGATATAATTCTGTTCACATTTTTAATATAATATAAAAATTCTAATAAAAATTTTCACAATTCCGGTTAGAAAGGGATTTCTGAAATCTGTGAACGGAATGAGCAGTATTATAATCTTCTGAAAAAGTTATGGAAAAAAAGCTTTACTCATCTATATATAATGATTTAAGATATTATAGAAAAATAATTCTGCTTGACAAGAAAGAACCTGCGGTTGCCATTAAATAACGATCGATGACCAAGTCTTCTTTATTTTTTTTTTGTGTGTAATTTCTGATAAACAAAAAATTAATGAATAAATTCTAAATGGTAAACTTGTTCTACATATTAGATTCAAATTTCGTATTTAATAAAATAAAATTTCAAATTTTACTCATATTAAAAAATTTGCATTAAGATGTGATTTCGGTGCCTTACAATTACTTTTTTTTTAATTTATTATTCTTTGCAGAGGATTTTTTTTTTTTTGCAAATAAACAAAAATCTAAAGAAATATGACAGAATGTCATCAAAGAATATATGTCGCGAACCTAACAACCCAAAACGTTTCAAAAAATAAATTGGTAAGTGTACAATGAAGTAATAGATAAGATACTCAATTAACTGCAGACAGTGATTAGAATGGATGGCTTTTAAGGTATTAAATAGATAGTGAAAGGTGGGCTTTCAATTATATATTTGCCATGGGAAATGTCATCGTGATGTATAATATGTTTATAAATTATAGTAATATATTAATTATTACTATAATACTAAAATAAACGGATTCCTGATCTGCAATTTGATTGGTTCTTTATTCGTGATTTGATTGGTCGAAATAACTGATTGATATGTAAAGAAAATTTACTTTTTCTCAATCAGAACAATGGTGATTTTTAAGTGAAATCTTACAAAGCAACAGAATCTCATGAGCTGATAAATGACCAAACACGTAAATCACCTGAAGCAAGCCTTGGCATAAGAAAATCTACACCAATCAAAGGATTTAAAAAGAAGTTTATCAAACAAAACTTTGTGAAACAAAACTAAATATAAAGAATTTTTTTTTTGGTATAGTAAGATAATATTTAAAGGTGAAAGGGAGAAGGATAACAGGTAAAAGGAGTAGTAATGACCAACGCTAAACTTGCTTTAATTATGTCACAATTATTAGTACTCTAAAAATATTTATTGTAAATTAAAGTATAATATAAAAAAATACTAATAAAAATACAAAAGTGTGTACAGATTAAATAGTCAAAACAGTAAGAACAGAATCATGGGTAGACACAATAAACTTAATTTTGTGTATCAAAACCAAAGTAAATATATAATGACACTATTACCAGAGAATAGAAAAGTTTTACAATTGATAATTTTAATAATAGTAACTTCAAATATTACTATAATAACTTATGGTGAAATAAACTGATAATCAAAATTAATAACAATGTACAAGCATATTCTCCTGAATGGAGCTGAGTGTGCTGAGTGTGGAATGCAACTTTTTCAATCAGAATTAACATCCAGAATTTTATGGAGACATTCTAGTATGCTATAAATACAAAATGTTAAAATAATGTATTAAAAATGCAATTTTAATATGTTATAATTATTAAACATTAAAATAATGTACTAGAACATTATGTTCTAGTATACTATAAATACAAAATGCTCAAATAATGTACTAGAATGGTGTATTTAGTATACTATTAATATGAAATGTTTAAATAATACACTAGAACATTGTGTTATAGTATGTTAGTGCCATTTGAATTATACTTGCACGCAAAATTATTTTGGGGCCCCGAAATTGCAATTTTGGAGAAAAAAGTCAAAATAGTTTTTCATAGAAGATGAAATTATTTTACTTAAAACCTGAAATTTTTTGACCACCCAGATTTATTCTTTGATTAAAGATACATATAACTAGGTACTTTTTTTACTTCCATATATAGAATAGATTTTGCATAAATCTCAAAAAGTCGAAATACCTCAAAAATCCAAAATCAATTTTGGGAACATGTATAATTTGAATAATGCTATAAAATGGTATTCACATAGTGTTATAGAATGTTTTTATTTAATTCTTATGAAAGAATTTTTGTTGCAATCTAGTGCTAAGACATATAAATACATCTTTACAACCCTTACTAATGCTTTATAAGAACTTTATATATTGGATACTTTTAATCATCTTAGTTGTTAATACCACTTGCTCTTTTCTTTTGTAACACTGGATATACAGGAGGCATAGTTCATTTACCATATCTATATGCTTTTACTATTAACAGTTGTGTATATTATCAAATTCATTTCACTAATACAAAAGGATAACCAATTAACGAGTTCATGTATGATACTAAAGCATAAGATTATTATGTAAATCAATATAACCAGATTGAAATATTGTTTATATTATTGAACAAGAGTTAGCTATGATAAATCTGTTTGTTTAAGGTTTATATCAATTATGTAATATAAATTATTTACGAACTAGATTAGTGATTCAACAGTTAACAGCTGGTGCTAAAGTTGCTATGTGCATAATTGTTTATTTAACAGCTGTAGTTCAGGAACAATGTATACAAATCTGGTACGTTAATGGACAAACCTAATTAAACTAATATTTTTAATAAACATTACGAAGCATAACAGAATTCATTTTTTTTATGTGTAAAATCAGCAGGCATATATATTGATAAACATTGAACATTCTAATCACAAAAAATTTTACAAGTTGATTACTTTCATTGCCACATTATGACTGAAATTAGATTTTATTTACTTGATCATTTATTCAATAAATATTTCGTGAATATACTGTATTTAGCTAAGCAGATGACAAAAGTCTGCAATTTATATGTAAAGAATAGTAAAGATTTTGAAGAGGTAGTCAAGATGAAAATAAATTACTTGATAATGAAACAGAATTATATTCTAATGGTGTTTATTTGCCAGTTTCACATATACTTTCATATAGATAGTTATTCAAAAAAATAATGAATGCTTTAGTTATTATAAATAAATTTAATTAGCTAACATTTTTTATTACATTTACAAAAAATCTAAATTGACAAGAAATTTAGTAACAATTATATGTTAAACAAAATTACACTAATTGACCTAATATTGATTGTGTATTAAAAAAATATTTAACCTATCTAAACAAGTTATTGAAAAAATATGCTGACAAGATTATTTATTATATTGTGGTGATGACGAAAGATTGATAAGATAGTATGAAGATAGTAGCACAGAAAACATGTGGTATAGGAATACAAATGATAGAAATGATAGAGAAGTACAAATGATTGAAATGATAGAGAAGAATGAATGATGGAAATGATGGAAGAAAAGGAAATATAAAAGTAGCAGTAAGAAGAGAGAGAAAAGGGAGTTCCTTTTGAACAGCATATTTTTTTAAGATAGCAACTTTTAATATTTTATCTCTTTGTTTTATTTATATTATTCTATTTTATTAAGTAATTATAACAACATTTATAATAATATTCATGTAAATAGTAGAAGTAGTAACAGAATAGAAACATGCCTAACTTTTAATAAAACTTTCATTTGGTTGTCTAATTATAAATAAACATTTCATCACTTATAACTCTGTTCTAGCATCAATATTATACATAGGAAAAACTATCTCTACTTCACTTGCTTACATATCTCTCAAATAATATTTATGATTTTGTAGTTATCTTTTAAAGTTGTCACATTGCATAGCGATACACAAAGAAGTATAAATTATTATTGTGACTGGGAACTTGATTTGTTGTATAATTCTGTTGTGTGCTGTTCAGACGCAACAGATTTTGGTACCTCCTGTAAGATGTGATATGAGATATTCCTATTTCGAGTAGTCTTGTTTTACAAATTTAAACCCCTGACAAATCTAGTTAGAGTCAAAATTAGATAGCTCTATCATATTATTGCGAAAAGGCAATAAGTACAATATATAAGATACTTCTCCAAGAAAATGAACAGCTGTCAACAAGGTCCTCGAGATACAGTGAGACAAAGGGTCTTTAATATAGTAAAATTTCTACGAATCAAAGGATTGATGACAAAGTCAACCATGTCAGAAATTCATGTAACAAAGAAAATATCTAATTTGTTATAAAGACGAATAACTAGGGCGATCAGTTGTAGTGTTGAAAAAAATGGAATTAATGCTCTAATCAGAAGGCTACAAGATGCCTTCTATATATTAAATGATGCACGAATGTCGTTATTTTATAGAGGGAGTCAAGACCCTATGGAATGGTTAGAGAAATACAATAGATCGACAAAATAAACTAGTACACTGACGAGTATAGACTTTGTGTAGTCAGTGGATATCTACAAAGTGCCACAAAACAATGGTTTGCAGAAATCCAAGGAGGACAAAATCCTATTACACATTGGAATGAGAGAGAGCAAGTTTTATTCGAACCTTTATTTTTAACCACCTTCAAGACTACCGTACTCATTAACCAATAGAGATTCAAACTACAAATGAAAGTACAAAAATTAAATGAAACCGTAAAGCAGTATGCCAACAATGTAAAGAAATTAATAAAGAGAATCAACAGTAAAAACAGGTGGAGCAGTGATGAAAAGGTTTAGTAATTCTTGAAGGGATTACAAAAGAATATTGCTTATTAGGCTCACCTATTGATCCTGTCGCAAGAGAATCCTATGTTGGAATCTGCGGTCAGAATTGTGAAACAGTTTGAAAATAATGTACAGACTTATTCTGAAGTAGTTAAGTATGGTGTCACTTTATTTGCAAATATCCTATTTATACTTCCTACGATAAAACTAATGATAAGGAAGACGTAATGGAGTAAGTAGTACAAAGGACTTTAATTCTATTAGTCAAAACGTTACGAAAGATCACAGAAAAGAGTGATAGGCTACCAAATACATTTTACAGACAACCTAACTACACCTTTGATAATAGAGAACGAAGTATGGAAATTGAAGCAATAATATCAGTAATATATCCCACTGCTATGCTTGTAAACAAATGAGAAATATGGCTTGAGGATATTTCACAAGGACAGATTATTAAAGAAATCCTGTTGATCTCCAGAGGCAAGATAAAGTAAGGCAGAGAAACTGCAAGTCAATATTACAACGAGACAAGCTGTACCTCAAACATACAGAACAACAGAAATAATGCTTTTGTAACTCAAGAAGAAGTAAGTAAAGCACTGGTCACTATTGTCTGGAAAAGAATACTGCATTTAAACTACTAAACATACCTCTGGAGTGTGAGAATGCGGATGAAACAAATCCCTTGTACAAAGAAGAAAAGACGAACGTAGCAACAGGAGGAAACGTAGAAGTCAGAGATAAGCAAGCGAATCAACTCATTATAAAAAGGTTGTGATCAAAGGAGTACAAGAAAATAGTAGAGGGACCTCAACAGAAGAAAAAGAAGAAAGTGCTTTCAGTCTAACAACTATCCATAGTACAGAATGCTCCACATTATTCTATTGTTTCAGACCTACTGTCTACAAGAGCCAGTATTAACTTGGAGCAACTGATAGAATTGTTGCCATATCATAACGAAGTACAAAAGACCCTTGTTCTATGACGAGCAAAGGTTACGAAAATAGCTAATTACACCAAAGTTGAAAGGAACACTCCAATAATATATAAAGTTCAAATAGCAAGTTGAAAAGTCGATATTATACTTGATAATGGCTCTTCTATTAGTATTATTTTGGAGAACTTCATGAAGTTATTAGGAATGAGAATTGATAAGTCTTCTAATAATAAGATAATTAGTATCCATAGAAAAAGACATTTCAGTATGGGAGTCATAACTCAAGTACAAGTTAACCTAGAAAGCATAACTGTGACAACGAATATGAAAGTCATAAGCGCAACTGGATACACTTTAGTCCTTGATACCAACTGGTTAAGAAAAGTGAATGTAATTATTAACTACCAGAAATATAAGTTAACATTAAAGAATGATGAAAATACTATAAAAATTCCTTATAGAAATATGAATACAATAATATTAGAAAGTGATAATAATATCATAACGAAAGTGAAAACTATTTAGAAAGTAGTGGAGAAACAGATATGGAAAAAGATGAAGAGAAAGCGAAATTCATAGGGTTAACTTATAAGTTACTAAAGCAAGAAGTTGATGTGGCCTTTGAAAGAATATATACAAATTCGGGACATATAACATGGGAGATTAATGATTATCTTATTTATTGTCTAAACATTATTAGGAGAAAGAGACATAAACAAAGAAAACAAAAGGCTGCAGGACCAAATATCTATTGTTGGTATAATACTAGTCAAAAATTAATAAAATATATACATATCGGGTACTCAATATGTGCATAGTACGTCTCTAATATCAGGCATATATCGGGTACCCGATAGGTATAAAAAATATTTTATATATATATTGAATACCCGATAAGTGTAAAAAAATATTTTCTACACCTATTGGGTACCCGATATATGTCCGATATTAGAGACGTACCATGTACATATTGGGTACCCGATATGTGTAAGTTTTATCAATTTTGACCAGTGTAATAAATATCTTGAAACTAGTGAAAACAAGTATAAGGAGTGCAGAAAGTAACTACAAAATTGAAAAGTTGTTTCAATAGTGCTGCAAGACAAAATTTATGACATATATAAGAACCTAGCCCAAGGAAGAACAGAAATACTTATAGAAAACAAGTACAAACCATTGGTTGATAAGATTATAACAGAATTTCTGGATCTAATGACTAGTGATATTTCTCAATTGGGAAAGATAAATATTTGTGTACATGTGATAGATACTGGAGAAGTGAGACCTATTAAATTATATTCATATTGAATTTCGCCTTGATACTTAGAATTTTTGAAGAAAGAAATTATACATATGATCAAAAATAGACTAATATAGATGTCATCTAGTCTATGGTCAATACCTACGATAGTAGTCAACAAAAAAATGAAAAGTTTAAGTTGTGCGTTGACTACAGGAAACTTAATATCGTTATCAAACCTGACATCTATTTGGTTTCAAAGATAGTTAATATACTGATAGTCTTGGGATATTCCACCTTCTTTTTGACACTTGATTTAGTATCCAAATTTTGACAAGTGGAAGTGTCACTTAAGGATCAGGAGAAGACTACTTTTACTACCTCTTTCAGTACCTACAAATTCTTGATAATACTATTTGAACTCATTAATGCACCCATGACATTTCAACGAGTAATAAACTGAGTATTTTACAAAGTAATATGAAAGTTTGTACTAGTATACGTAAATGATATTATCATCTGCTCGAAAATTCATAAAAAATACAAGAATCACCTGAGAACCACCTTTACCTTCTTAGATATGGCATGATTAAAAATAAATTTAGAAAAATATAACTTCTTCCGAACAAAATTGATATTTTTGAGGTACATAGTAACAATTGAAAGAATAGTACCTGATCCAGTAAAGATAGATAAAGTTCACTGATATCTCATTTTCAAGAATAAGACCGACGTTCATGCTTTCTTGAGGTTAGCATCTTACTACAAAAAATATATATGAGACTTTTCTACCATTGCAAAACTACTGCATAATCTTACTAAAAAGGACATCATGTTTGATTGAAAAAATGAATACTAACTGTCTTTCAATTCATTAAAGAAATGTCTCACTTCAGTATCAGTAATGGTTTATCCTGACTTTTTAAAATGATTTATACTTAACACAGATACATCTGACTAGAGAATTGAAGCTGTATTCTCTCAAAAGAATAATTCGAATCAAGAACATCCTGTTACTTACACTAGACAACTTCTAGCCACCGCCAAACAAAACTATACTGTTGTAGAGAAAGAGTGTCTTGTTACTATTTGGCTGTACAATATTTTAAACATTACTTGTATGGACTTAAATTTGATTTGTATACGATAACGTCACATTTACCTGGTTGAAAAATTGCTCACATCCCAAGGGAAAAATTGCA